TAGAGTACAATTCGGGATTTATCTCGACGGCCTCTACTTCATGCGTTAGATGAGGATACCAAGATATTTGAGTCGGGAGAGTAGCAGACAAACGGAAGGGGATCGTCTATCCCTTTCGAAAGCACAGTTCAAGAACTAGATATTGACCGTAATCTTTGCAGTTTTTTTTTTTCATGCTCCCCAGACTGTTTTTACCAAGGTGTCTGCAAAAAGTGTGCAGTTCATGGGCCGGGAGGCATCAATCTGGGAGTGGGCACCGCCTATGGCATTGATGGGCTGATCGGAACTTGCACCGCCACCCAAACTGGCGCCGAGTTTGCTCATCTCGTATTCCTCGTGCGTCCCGCCTTATCTCGATTGATTTCAGTGCCTAATGGCCTCACATACACTGTTATATATCCAAAATAATTTAAATTGAGCTGTATTAATATTTATTCCTCCATTTCAATGTCCTCCTCGGCTGTCCAATCCTCCACAATAGGCACCTCGACTGTCAACGCTTCTGGCCCAAGATCAGCTTCTGGATCATGAGGGAGGGGGTATTTTGAGATATCAGCTCGATAAATTCTCAGGCTGCCTCAAGAGCCTCCAATTTTGCTGGTTTCCGAGCGTATCTGCTGTTGGCCAAAATATTCGGAACGCCGCGAAGTCGAAGAGAATTCAGTTGCAAATGAATTTTGGGGATGGTGAGGTCGCTGATTCAATTTAGAGTTCCGTCAGGAGCTTGTCGCCAGACAACGAGTTCAGCAGGCAATTTGTATGGCCATGGTGGATAGAGAGGTAGAGAGAGAAAAGTTGAACCAGACCTCCAATATGGAAGACGGAAGGAGCGGGAGAGGTTGCGCATCTGATGCTGATGTCGGAGTTTGAATCCTCTCTGCTCCCGCTCCCTACTTGACCTCAATCCGAACGGTAGCTCTTCCTGCGGGAACATGTACGATATTCGATTCAAACTGTGCCTTGAACCGTCTAAAATAATCCCATTGTAGCTGCCCGAAGGGTATTACCTTCTCTGTGATACACGACAGCGATGCCAGCGCCGAAATCCAAGGTTCCTGCTGCAAAGTCTTCGCATGGATCAAAACCAAAGACGGGGGTCCCCCGTTCTGTGCCCGAGCAGCTGAAACGGCTCTTCACCACCCTCTGCGCGCAAATCGACGGGGGGCATCATTCGAATGCAGTAAAGACGTGTGACCAGAGTGCGTCTCAGTATCTCGTCTTTTCATGAAGGACTTCTCCTCACGTCGAGATACAGTACTGCGCCTCTCCCCAGCGGACCCCGACGCACTCCAAACGAAACTCTTCTTATTGTTGACGACTGATCAGTCAGCAGCGGCGATCACGCTCATCGAGTCTTTGAGTGGAGAGAGGTCGAACGAACTGCGGTATGCCTTCGAGCGGGCGTACGCGCTGTACTGCCTGCACAAGAAGGACGAAGCGCGTGAGGCACTCTCGCAGGACGCAGGAGGCGTGGACGAGCGAGGTGTACGGCATTTAGAGGCGCAGCTGGTGCGTCAGCGGCGGTCTCGCCCGATCCTTATACTGAAATTCCGTGCAGAACTACCGCGAAGGCACGTACCAAGCGGCGTTCGACATCTATAACGAGCTCCTCGATTCTGCGCCGGTGAGCCTCCTTCGCCGCATCGTAGCGCATAATTTATAACGTCTCCCATTCAGACGGCCGAAGAGCAAGCAGACATCCTCACCAACATCCAAGCGGCGTCGGCGCACCTCGACTTCATCAACACCACCTTCCTGCACTCGCTCGACGCCCTTCCCGCGTCCACGCAGGCCCAGATCGAGGACGCGCCCCCACCGACCGTGGCGGCTGCACATGCACCCGTTGCTGTGGCTCCCGCCCCCGACGCCCAGGTCCCGCCGAAGGAGAAGAAGGTCCGCCTGCCCAAGGGCGTGGTGCTGGGCGTCACGCCACCGCCGGACCCCGAGCGCTGGCTCAAGAAGAGCGAGCGCTCGAACTTTGGGCAGAAGCGCAGGAAGGGCGGTGGAGGCGGGGGCGGTGCGACGCAGGGGAGTGCGGCCGATGTGCCGGTTGCCGTGGAGAGTAAGGGTGGGAATGCGAAAGGGAAGGGGAAGAAGCGGAAGTAGAGCGCTAGCTGTCGAGCGTTAGCTGCTCAACGCCGCTAATTCCAATCTTTAACCATCCAAGCATGTATGCTCAACCAACGCTAGATACCTTCATCCAAAAAAATTCATTCAGCCTTGCCAAACTGTCGAGACCAGCAACCCGCGGGACTGCGCGTCCTTCCCTTGTTCCCGGCCAAAAAAATCTCTGACGCTCTACTGCTGTTCTCCCCGGCATTATCACTTCTTTTTCAGCGACATCCCGGACGAGCAAATTTAAGAGCTTTTCCCCCCTCATCTCAGACGATGTTAAGGGCCTTTCATGTGTGCTACTTGACCTTTATTTACGCCCTGCAGTGCTCATTGCAAGGAGACGCGCTTCATGTGAAGACGCGTTAACGCTCCGGGCAACCAATGCATTCTGTCGCTGATGTGAGGATATGAGTGAGCGACTGTTGCATCCTTGTGTTCCAGCTTGACAACGCCAATAATCTTCATTATATTCTGTACATGCCCACGCCACGCACGGACAGACACTTTTTCTGCTGGACTATAGTGCCGTTGAAAACTCGACCGAGTCGAAATTTAGATGTCGAACCCCATTTGTCTGGAAAATCTCTTTTAGGAGAGGATCAGAGAAGATCTCCAAAGTTTTTAATGTGATTGATTGCTGATTTCTCTTCTCACAACTCTCATGTGCCCTCTTTGGTAATTGCGGCTGCCTTAAAAGCAAGGGTTCTGCCGATCTGCGGGCACCCTGGCCGGCCCACCACCCCCGCGAACCCTCTGTGAATTGGAACGTGAAGCGCAGGAGTATTTACTCCTAGGGACATGATTGCAACAGAAATCTCACGCTTGTGAGTGTCCTGTCCCACCTTTGGGCAACCCTTCACAGGGGTTATCAATCAGAGCATCCGGACCTCTTCGACCTAAATTCGCCCTCTCTCTCATCCCAGGCGCACTACCCTCTACACCGTCCGATGTCGTCTACCACCTTGTCGCCTTCCGCCAGTGGCGGCTCGTCCGTTAGTCCGTCTGTTACTTCGTCGTCCTCGTCCTCGTCGGCCGGATCTAGCACACAAGGCGCAGGCCCCTCATTCACCGTCTTCCCGGGGCCTTCAGGATCGTCCTGTGCCGACCCTGGGGGCTGCGCTGCCCCTCCACCTGCCACATTATACCGTGCGCCCCTCTTCCGCCGTCTTTGCCCCTGTATTCATGGTATTTTTTTTCCTTGGCAGTGTACACCTTCCTGTCGACGCTTATCCTCCTGCTGCTGGTGAGCGGTGGAATCATCACGCGCTCTGTGGTTCTCCGCCGGCGGCACCTACACGCTGTGGCGAACGGCTGGGTGCCCACACGGCGGCGTGAGAATTACTCCTCACGCACACAACCCGTGATGTTCGAAGTGTTTGTTGCACCAGACGGCAAGAAAGACGAGGAGGGGCGGTGGAGTCGCATGAAGGTGCGTCTCACGCGACCTGCCAAGTTTGGCACTAAATTTGCCCTCCAGCCCTTCTCTGCAGCCGACATCGTACTTCCTGCGAAGGCTTCAGTTCCTCCACCGGCGGAGAACCGTCAGCAGGTCGCCATGGACCGCTCCGCACGCGAACAAATGCAGAGCATCGTACGCTTCGCCTTACGCCATGGTAATCTCCGCCCACCGCCTGCGCCGCCGCCGCCCGTTATCGAACTTGCACCGCCATCATCTCCTACTTCTCCATCCCCAACGCAGGTGCGGGTCGGCTTCCTCGTAGCGATGCCGTCACAAACGGTGCCATCGCAGGACGAGGAAGAGGAGTTACCGTATCTTGAATTCGGCACCCTCGATGTGGGCGTCGTGGATGCTGGGAAAATGTCTGGCACGGACGAGGGTGTGAGCGAGGGCGCCGATTTGGGCTCGAAATCATAACATCGTCGATGTGCCTGGCTTCTTTGACTGTTACCCCCTTGCCTGTGAAAAATATCTGCGCAGGATTACTGTATTTTGTATTTCACGAAAACAACATATCGTAATTAAAGGACGTTCACATATGATGTTTCCTGGACCTGTCGTTTTGGCACAAGTCTTGGATTTGTCCGAGAAGGAACCAAGCATATGTGGTCAGCTACGTTCTAAATATGTGTATTCTGAAACAGGAACCACTAGCAGCAAGGTGTTTGATACATCACGTCGGGAATAGACTACATTTCAGGGCCCCCGAGTCGTAGCGAAAAGAAAAAAAGGAACCGATGCTGCACTTTATTCGGACGCGGGGAGTCGAACCCCGAACTCTCATTATATTTTCACGTAACGAACAAGTCACGGTCAGCGAGGGTGTACCGTACACCACGTCCAAGTTATTATCATGCCAGTGCCCGGCGCTAGCTAGGAAATTTAATTCGAGGTGCAGGAGAAGGGTCGTACGGAACTGAGTTCAAGAAGTTCAAGTTTGGATTCCGCTGGGGGCTAACAGATAAACTGAGGGTGCGTCAGTCACCTGGCATACAACATAGCAGTTACTAAAATAAATCTATCGTTGACCATGTATCACCCGCATTTGAAGAGAGCAGTGAGAACAAAAAAGAGCTACCTCTCTCGAACAGATCTCGAACACGGGGAGTCGAACCCCGGATGCTGGCTAAATTTACCCGGAAACCGATGAATGAAAGCCAGGGTGTACCGTACACCACGCTCGAGTTCGTCGTAGAAGTGCATGATTTAATTCGAGATGCAGGCAAAAAAAGAGGTGGAGTCGCACGCGGGAAGTCAAACGTAAATACCTCTCGCTCGCTGGATTTGATTCTCAGCGCGAAGAGTTTATTGAGCGAGGGTCATGTCCAAGTCATCGTCCTGCAAGTGCCCTGCTCTGTTCGACGTATGAATTTACAGTGGTAAAGACTCAAAAAAGAAAAGAGAAAAAAAGGCTTTGACGACGGGACTCGAACGCGGGGAGTCGAACCCCGGATGCTGGCTAAACTTATCTTCTCAATCAGAAATGAAAGCCAGAGTGTACCGTACACCACGCTCGAGTTCATCATACAAGTGCATAGTTTAATTCAAGATGCAGGCAAAAAATAAAATATAAGAGGCATAACGAGTCGGACGCGGGCAGTCAACTTGAAACGTAACTCTCCCACTCGCTGGATTTGATTCTCAGCGCGAAGAGTTTATTGAGCGAGGGTCATGTCCAAGTCATCGTCCTCCAAGTGCCCTGCTCTGCAGATCTGCTCGACGTATGAATGTGCAGTAGTAAATACTCAAAAACTCAAAAAGAACAGAAAATAAAAAACAATTTAGCGAATGGTGATTCGGACGCGGAGAGTCTAACCCCGGATGCTGGCTACATCCACCAACTAATGAATAATAGAAAGCCAGAGTGTACCGTACACCACGCCCGAGTTCTTATCATACAGGTGCCCAGCGCTAGCTAGGAAATTTAATTCGAGGTGCAGGAGAAGGGTCCCACGGAACGCAAGTTCAAGAAGTTCAAGTTTGGATTCCGCTGGGGGTTAACCAATAAACTGAGGGCGCTCCACTGGAATACACCAGTCATTTAAATAATCTACGGCATTTTTAAGAGAGCAGTGGGAACAAAAAAGTGAATTGGCCTAGAAGATCTCGAACGCGGGGAGTCGAACCCCGGACGCGGGGAGTCGAACCCCGGACGCTGGCTACACCGTAAATGATATGAATAGAAAGCCAGAGTGTACCGTACACCACGCTCGAGTTCATCACACCAGTCCATAATTTAATTCGATATGCAGGCAAAAAAAAGAGGCGGAGTCGCACGCGGGAAGTTAAACGTAAATACCTCTCGCTCGCTGGATTTTATTTTCGCTGCAAAGAGTTCATTGAGCGAGAATTTTGGGTACAATCACGTCGAAGTTATCGCGCCCTGCTCGGCGTATAAATTTGCTTAGAGGAGTAAATACGCAAAAAAACAACAACATTGGTCGCTCACGATTCGGACGCGGGGAGTCGAACCCCGAACTCTCATTATATATTCACGTAACGAACAAGTCACGGTCAGCGAGGGTGTACCGTACACCACGTCCAAGTTATTATCATGCCAGTGCCCGGCGCTAGGCGCCGCTAGCTAGCAAATTTAATTCGAGGTGCAGGGGAATGGTCGTACGGAACGCAGGTTCAAGAAATTCAAGTTTGGATTCCGCTGGGGTCTTCCAAATAAACTGAGAGTGCGCCACTGGCATACAGCAGCCATTAAAATAAATATACCGTTGACCATGTATCATCCGCACTTGGGAGAGCAGTGGGAACAAAAAGGTGTAGCCGTCTAGAATATCTCGAACGCGGGGAGTCGAACCCCGGACGCTGGGTGCATTTGTTCCACCACTAATGAATAGAAAGCCAGGGTATACCGTACACCACGTCCAAGTTATTATCATACAGGTTCCCAGCGCTAGCTAGGAAATTTAATTCGAGGTGCAGGAGAATGGTCGTACGGAACGCAGGTTCTACATGTATGAAATTAACGGGGTGATCGTAAGCTCGCTGACTCTTATTTTCGATGTTCCATTTTCTGTGGCTTGGGGAGAGCAGTGGGAACAAAAACTGACGAAGACTTTGAACATCTCGAACGCGGGGAGTCGAACCCCGGACGCTGGCTAAATTTACCCCGAAACCGATGAATTGAAAGCCAGGGTGTACCATACACCACGCTCGAGTTCATCATACCAGTGCATAATTTAATTCGAGATGCAGGCAAAAAAAGAGGCCGAGTCGCACGCGGGAAGTTAAACGTAAATACCTCTCGCTCGCTGGATTTTATTTTCGCTGCAAAGAGCATCAGGGAAACCAAAATGCCTGTGCAGTACTATGCAGTACTGTGCAGTACTATGCAGCAACCTGTGGCTGTGATGTACCTATGAGGCACTATGAGGCCCTATGCAGTGCTGCATAGGGCTCATAGTGCCTCATAGGTACATCTCGGCTACGGTTTTCCTGATGAGTTCATTGAGCGAGAATTTTGGGTACAATCACGTCCAAGTTATTGTGCCCTGCTCGGCGTATGAATTTGCTTAGAGGAGTAAATACTCACAAAAAACAATATTGGTCATCCACGATTCGGACGCGGGGAGTCGAACCCCGGACTCTCGCTGCATTGACATGACCGAAGCAACATGAAAAGCGAGGGTGCACCGTGCACCACGTCCGAATTGGATGCGTAGGGCGGTAACACGGTATGAGCTAGACCTTGGGAAATAGGAGAGGAAGCCAGAAAAGCGAAAAAAGGTTTGAAAGAGGGAAGACGCCGGGAGTGCTTTATGCCCGGGGCAAAAAGGAAGAATATGCGGCGCGGCCGGCAGGAAGACCCGGTTTGAAAGCACTTAACTGAGCGTAGGCGACTACACAGACTCCCAAAAATCTCTGTGGCAGTCGACATTTGCTGGGACAAACTGCGTACGCTTGCGCATCGGAGTACGGATAGATTTTGGCTTCGTCCGAAGAGACTTGCGTAGGCCGCAGTGATCGAAAGAAGCGGTTGAAGGCGAGGAAAGGAAGCATTGGCTTTGAATGAGACCGATTATTTCAAATTTGAGAGAATCGCGGCGAAGGTTCCGCGGTGAGGTAGTTTGAATGCAAATGGGGAGGCAAATCCCAATGTCGGGGACGAGATGAGAGCGAGATAAAGCTACATGGGGAAATAGCACCGTTGACGACTCGGAGTAGCGAGGTGATTGCTTGCGGGCATTCACGGAGCCCGTGTTCTTGATGAGTCGGACCAAGCCGGATGACGGTTTAGGACGGGAGGCATTGATCCGCCACCAACACAATCTCCGGCTCTTTACCCCGTCCTTCATGCATACTTTGCACGACCTAGTCCTGAAATGCACCTCAATTCAGTTTCCTCGCTCTCCTCTCATGTGCCTCCTCCCTTGACTCTAACCCTTCCCACAATTCGTCATTGACTCATTCATCGAATATCCAGTCCAACTACATCGCCATGCGGGCAATTGTGAATCGGTGGCATCCCAGCCCCCGTTTTAAACTTGGGCCACATGCAATCCCTTTCGACTGATGTGTTGCTTTCGGCTCAATCCCAGATCCTCAGTTTTGATTCCATCCTCCTTACCAGCACCTCCTGTAGAGTCTAGCATCTCGAGCAACGGTCTTCGCGTGGATTTGAGCGGCGGTAAGCAAATATTAGGCCTCTGAGTCATCACACATACTAATTTGTCCTTCAGACCATACCTCTACAGGCGGTGCATCGCCCTCTCCCTTCTTTTTGTGCTTGTGCGTCAGCTTGGGTCAGGGTGTCGACGCTCCCCTCACCCCGCCGTGCTGCATCATTTCAAAGTCCATTAACTCCGCCCACCATCTGCGCTGTACGCTTCCTCCTTCTGCATCACCTCCCCGTCGTCCTGAACGGTTCGATGGAAGATCGGAAGCTCAAGTCGGCGTCAACCAGCTCATGCGTCAACGTAGCCAGCGGGGGCCACCGTGGCGTCAGCCCGCGCAAGACATGCAGTCGGGGGAGAATCTCGTCGCCAGCTACGCGTCCTGGCTCCCTGTCGGCATCGGCTCCCGCACCCCACATCGCTTAGGATCACGACGAATCGCACTGAGAAGGGGGCCGGGCAGCGGTAGCCGCCGGACGTCACTCTCCCCTCTTCGTGTACCACCGGTCACACATCTTCATGGAGGCCCTTCGTTTCATGCTCCTCCCCTGGCCCTCCTCTGCCTGTTTCTCCCGCCGTCCCGACCCTCGCCCATTCTTGTCGGCGTCTGCAGATGTGCGGCCGCGCGGCGCGAGTGCTCCACGCATCCGCGCGCGGGGATATGGAATGCTGTTTTGAGACACGCCTAGTATTGTTTGATGACAATGGCAAAGAATGTTCAATATCCAGTCTGTCGAATTTGGCGGTCTTGATTCATAGTATGAGTTGAACTTTTCGAACAAATTCACCACATTGATTGGCAGCCTCGTGTTTTGTGCTAAATTCAGCGAGTCCGGCGCCAAATGAGGTGACGGTAAACAGGCACATACTGATACTGGCGCTAACAGGTTTACCCACCACCGCTATGACCCATCACTACGAGCATCTCATTCTACTCAACGATGTGCCCGATGTTTTCTTCCAAGCGCAGACGACTCGATTTGGAATGACCAGACAGACCGTTACTGCGGAATCCTCGATGCTAGCAGAGAACACTTCATCTGATAACGACGGCCCACCGGTCATTGAGCTGGATGAGGACCCTGACAAGCTGCAACCCTTCTTCCGGATTCTGGGCAATGATGAGTGCGTTGCTTCCAACTTCCCTTTGGCCCCGGTTTGACGCACAATTATTTGACAGATCATTATCTGGGTTTTTACGCACATCTAGCGCTGGCTTCCGTCCCCGTGAATTAGCTGTCCTCCTCGAGATGAGCACCAAATACGGGGCAAAACGGATCCGCGCCCACACCATTGCCTTACTCTCAATCACATTTCCGACGACTCTTGTAACATTTCCCAAACAACGCACCTACTTCAGGCTCAGGAGACAGGATGAATATGCACAGGACCGCTTCGAAACCCTTCCATCGATAAACGCATTCGAGGCGTTTTTGGCCCTATCGGCCGCACAAAAGGCAAATGCATGGCCACTCGTTCTCAGTGTTCTGTACCGTTGTGCCACATCCCTCTCCCCGACAAAATCATTTCGCCCGCGAAAGACCCAGAGGGCCATGGGACGGTCTGCCTCTCACCTCAGGATCAGCGCATCTGTCTGTCTGGCCGACAGCGTTGTCTAGACCATATAGTGCAATTCATGACCTTCTGCGTCGAAGGCCAACTTGAAGATACTGCATGTTGGGAGGACGAATGCATCCGACAGAAGTTGAAAGAATTCAACCGTCTTCGGATGATTAAAAATCCCGACCTACTTGCTTTCCAATGGAACGCCCACGACACATGGAATATATCTCCTGATGCCTGCTACGAGCGGCCATGACGGAGTGGAACCGTGCGCGATTGTTCTTTTGGAACAGAATCCCTGAGTTCTTCGGGATGGCGCCTTGGTGGATCCTGCGCGACCAGACTCTCGAAAACCCGCACAACTCGGTGAATCTCTTCCCATCTGTCCAGTCGAATAATATCCCCGTGGAAATAGTTGACTATGTTTTCCGGACACACATTGCGTCCCATCCATCCGCTGCGCGTTCCATGCGTTTGATATCACGGGATATCAACACCACCGCGACCAACGAACTATACAGGACCGTCACGCTGCGCAATGCAAACAATGGGGTCTCCCCATTTTGGCATCTCGCCTCTATCTTAAGCAAAAAACAATTGCCTATCCGAAATTTGGATCTCCTTGGATTGACTTTCTGCGGTCACAGTAGCGCCAGGTACTACTTCAATCTTCCAGACGTATCTTCTGCGATGTGGAACTTCTTGGATCAAGGAACTCTTCAAAACCTGCTGATTTCTAACCTCCTATTTGTTTCTACCATTCGCCACCGTCCGAACAACAACAGCTGGCCCAAAACGTCGACCTCCCTCCGCATGGTTCTGGATTGCCATGCAGATCGCTACGAGCCAGACTTCGATAGTCCGTTCCATTACTCCCCCATAATTTCACTCGTATGGGGCTCTCGACTCTATAGCCGGCAGGATCACCCACCTTCACATTGTCCATGGAGTTTCGGATGATGCGCCATTTGAGCGAACGTTCGCCTTTACCATGTTCCCCCAGCTAACACATTTCGCCTGCCCTGTATTGGACGACGAAGCTCGGTTTGGTGATGCTGGATATGTCTTCCCTCCCCGATGCAGATGCTCGTGATACTTTCTGGATGCGACGACATCGACGCGGTAGGAAACAGCGAGGAGGGTGCTAGGTTGCGGAGGTTGAGAACCGTTGACGCCCGAGTATACGTAGCGCTCTCCAATCCGGCATCATGGGGTGAAGAAGAGTTGGCGCAGGCATGGAGCGATGACATCCGGTCGGGAGAGTCGCTGTGGGACCGGGCGCGCAGAGACACCCAAGCATGGCGAGCAAAGTTTGACTGATCTGGATTCCGGATGACAAAGTTCGGTTTGTGTCGGAAAGGAAGGGATCTGTAAAAGGTTTCGGCAGCCGTATTTGTGTAAAGTAGTATTGCAAATTGAAGTGTCCGCTTGTCCTTATCGAATGAATGGTTAGTATTATGAGAGAACCGCGGCGACGTCGGAAATTTCCGCAGTAGAATAGTTGGGGACACATGTTGCCCTTCCCTGTGAAAAATATTCGCGCAGGATTACTGTATTTTGTATTTCACCACAACAACATATCGTAATTAATGGACATTCACATATGGTATTTCTTGGACCTGTCGTATAGGCACAAGTCTTGAATTTAATCCGAGAACGAACCAAGAATATGTGGTCAGCTACTTCTAAATA